ATTGCTGCAGACAGTAATGTCTTTGGGTCTAATAACCTGTGAACAAGATTTCAAAAATCAATTAATTACACAAGATAGGGAACAAACTATGACTGTGTGAACTTAACCATAATGCTTGTGCCACAGAACCAAGCACTCTAGCTTCTATGTTTAACACAAGTTGAATTACACAATAGAACTTGAGGTTGAAATCAATAATTTGGAGAAATTGTACAATTACCTGTGCTGCATATACAAAGCATCAATAAGAAATATACTAAAACATATTTTTAAAAATGTATGCCTACAAAGTAGGATGCAATGAGGACATAAAGAGCTTGAAGAAAATCTAAAATAAATGGTTAATAACGATTAAATAATAATTATAGATCTCAATGCTCAAGCAATAGACGATCGTTATTAGTGGATGAGAAGAAAGCAAAGAGTTAAGTATAGAGAGGAGAAGAATCTTAAAGCAGCTGAACTACGATACTAAATAATTCAATATTTATTCCAAAAGCTGTTAACGTTAAAATTCTCACCTAGTTTACTTTCTTATATTTTTCGTAAAACTTTAAATTTAATAAAGCCTGTGAACACTGTAATTAAAATGTTCCTAAATCAAACGAGTACTGGTTGCCTATCCATGCACGTTTTTCAACTGTTCAAGCTAATGTTACAAATAAACCGAAGCGGGCGTATAATCGGTCACATGTTTAACTTGAAGGCCATTACTTTCATATACAGTAAACTTTTAGGCTATGTTAACAGCAACAGTGTGAAATTAACATTAAGAAAATCTACCAACAAAATTATATGAATAATAAGTTCTCGAAAATATCGCAGGTTCTGCAAACTGGCACTTCAAATTTCAATAAAATAAATGAATCACAAAGAAACAGAAAATCAGTTCATCTTATTCCAGCAATAGATGGATTACAATTCGACTACCTCACCTCTTAACAGTATCACTCGTTAAATCAGAAACACGTCGTGCACAGTTGGAATGTGCTCAGAAAATGAAAATTGAAATGTGTGAATGTTATGTCCGTTTCATTACTAGAATGAAAATCCTAAGTACATATTAAAAACGGCCAAATGCTACGACCAATAAGAAAATCTTTTGTTACCTGAGAATCATAATGCCCATCTCCTCTGGAACATTTCCAATAATATCTTTGAAGCCTTCTTCTAACACAGAGCTCAACCCAAATGCAAGCATCAATGAGTAGAATGGCTCCATCTTCTCAGTAATATACTAAAACGTAACAGTACAAGGAAACTAAACTTCTTGTTCCAAGAACACTTTAACCACAACCACACTCAGCGATTTCCAACTGCAAAATGGGACCCAAATTTTCAAAATCACGCCTTTTATAACTTTAGCCCAAATAACAGAGCAACCAATCAAGAGGAACCTCTAAAAAAACGCTTCAAGAACGTCCACCAATAAGAAATCACCTCACAACGGAATTCTGGGTAACTGCTATTTGTGGACGCTATGTATCAGTAACATAGCAGATATTTGTGATCCAAATTTTCAGATGTATTGACTACAATGAAATTAATAAGAAACCAATTTACAACAAAGTACGTACATTTATTCCTTAACGATAGCAATTAAGAACACAAATAACACATTTGCACATGATTTAAACAGTACCTTTACACAATAGTGTGGCAGATTTCATTGCTTGTGGTAAACATTACAGAAATTAAGCAGGATATAAGGATTTGAGGTTTTCTCGGTGGTGAGTACGAAGATGGCTGTATTTTGGGTTGTACCGCCGTGTAGTCTGGCAGAAGTTTACCAAGGTTTCAGGGGCATCAAGGACCTCTGAAACGTTGGTAAACTACCAGACTACACGAAGCTACAGCCCAGAAGACAGCCATATTCCTATTACAGAAATGTCTGAACGGATACAATTTCTTTCTTTAGAAATATAAACATGTGTGTGTGTCAGAGGTCTCTCTTGTTTGGTTCAACGCGCAGCGTTTGCAGTAACGGAGCAAAAGAATATTAAAAAGAATTTTTACTGGTTCCGTACGTGTAAAATAAAATGAATCGTACGAAATCCTCTGGCATTTTCAAGCAAAGTTAAACTTTTTCTCAGTCCGTACCAAAATCAAACTATGACGACAAAATGAACCCTGACGCCAAAAATCGGAATGCGTATATTCCGAGACAAAAATTGCTTCAAAATACACGGATTTCTTTCAATAGTTTTTTTAATCTAGGAGTGATCATATACGACATTAAGAGTTTCACTGTTATGATTATAATTAATTTATACGCACATTCTATAATATGCTTACGCATAAAAAGCCTGAGGTGATAAAACTCGACACAGTTCTCTCTCATGTGAATAAATGGTTTACTGCAAACAAGCTAATTTAAATCTAGATAAAACAAATATAAATAACTTACTACAATAAAGTTCGGTTGGATGGAGTAACAAGGAATGTATACAGAATGTTAGTGGGCAAACCTGTAAAGCAAAATGTAAAGTTCTCACAGCAGTGAGACGTCAATGTCGTTCTTCCGGGTTGCAATGCCATTGACTTGTAGGCGGACACCGTCTTTCCCGAGAAACATCCTGTCCCCATGAGCAGGGCCACCACTTTGGTGACCAAGCAGCAGATATGACTATCTCTCTGCCAAGTAGGTTGAACGTGTGCAACACGGTTCAGGAATTGGTCCAGTGACACAAAGCATTCTCAGAATTAACATATTTGACAATAAAAAATTAATATACACGATAGATGTGATTAAACAGGTTAGAATTGACACCAGAAGGTAGTCTGTTAGCACAACAGTATTTGTTATCTGAGTCAGTTGAACTGTATGAGTTGGTAAAAAGCGTAAATCATTGTCCCTTATTATATTTTTAAATCTGTCATCTTTATTTCACGAGTGCCTACGTTTTTCCATTACATACTCTGAACAGTTTGTCACAATTTCATTGTCAAACCGTCTGCAATGCATCCAATTACACATACCTAGGGTCCTGTAATTTTGAGCGCTTTCATGTGTTTGGAGCAGAAGTGGGCCTAAGATTAAAATCGAAAGTAAACAATAGTTTAATATTAATCACTTAAAAAGTAAATTTCAAGAGGCAATATTTTTAATATCCCTGCTATTTTGAACACAGATTATTAACACAAAGTGAAAATGAAACCACACTTACACAAAACTGCATCGATTTGAATACATAATTCCTTCTATAACCTCTTGAGAATTCACATTCTAATACAGCAAGATTATTTTCAAGCATCCCACTAATCACTGGACATCTCGTACACATTATCCTCGGCCCTCAGAGACTTGGATTTCTAGCAGGATCAACAATCCTACAGCTGAAACAATTGCTGGAAAAGCTCTTCATTGTCTTGCTTTCATTTTCAGAAGTTTGTTGCACTGTGCTGACAAATTCGAAAACCCAGGTTCCTATATAAAGTGTCTGGAGAGACTTCTGAGAACATGTTCAAACCTAACACCAATTACATCCAACTTCTCTTCAGTCAGCAATCAGCACTTCTATTCATGTTTTTTATCTTAATTATCCTGTTTTCATTTATTTACAATGCCATGAATAGTTCTTATACGTGGAACTATTTCTGACATTGAAAATAACACAATAGAGTGAATACTTATCTCAGAAGTCTAGTAGTGTAGCCAGAATTAAAGCAACATAGGACTCAACATTTACGATTTGGCTGACCCATAACGCACGAGCTCATTTCAAAGTAACTATGGTGCAGCTTTATAGGGCACCTAGAAAGAACTTCATATAAACTAAACCAACAAAATATATCTGACATTCTACACTTCCACACTGAATTGAATGAAAGTGAAGAGACATGCCTGGTTCTTATGACTCCGAGTACAAACATTTTCTTAACTGCAACATACGCCCATATATGCAGTGATTAACTGCGCTGTTTAACCAAATACGCTTGCAGATTTCTTTATATATTTATTTATACCAAGTAACTAACGTTGCTCATATTTCAATCAAATCAGTAAATGCAAATAAATGTAGAGTTTTTAAACAACTTGAAATCTGATATATATATATATATATATACATTCACAAAAACATGTACTCTCTAATTATCACTACAGACCAAATGGAATGACTAACACGACAAACAGAATGGCCACTCTGCCTGGGACCCAATTAAAGATGTCGATTAGGAATCACATGGTAAAATAATACTCGCCATTTCTGTTAACTATATGTTATACATAACAGGACAAATGAACAGCATTCTGAGTGTAAGAAGCGGCATTTATGACACTCGGTTTCATATTACTAAAGTGAATAATTCATGAAAATCGTATAACAAATTTTATTTTTTGTTACATGTTCAATCTCAGGTACTTGGTGCGTTTTGAATTCAAAATCACAAATACCAAAGAAAAATGACTGTGGTCATACACTACATCTATGAAACTCATAACAATCAGTGAATTCTGAACAATATAAACAGTGAATCTAAGAAACAATATTACATAACTACTGACTTGCAAAGCACTTCTGTCAAGCAGATTTTATATCTGCTTCAGCATTCACCATACATTTACCTGGGACACTAAAATAAAAGCATTTTTGTAAAGCGTGAATAATAAACTGGTGTAACTGAACCTATTCCAGTTCTTCTCGGCTGGTCAAAAAATGTATACACTGGTACATATTCATTTACACTAACTTTATAATCAGTACTGCAAGTTGCTTCCCACAAAAAGAAGTGCCTTGTATATTTGTTCATGTTTGTATACTTTCTGCGGCAGCAAACTTCAACCACACATATTTCGCTGAAAATCTTCACACCGGTGCTCCCACAGTGATCCATGACATTACAATATTAATAAATTAAGACAAATTGATGCCAATGGGAGCTAATGAACAACAGAACACTTACGCTGCTTGCAAAACTGGCTGCGGATCCCCACGCAGTCACTTTTGCATGCAGAAACGTGTCTCAGCCTTCACGTAACATGTCTGGTATTTTTTGGTTCCAAACAAAATTGAAATGTTTTGACAGTTTTAGTAAATCTCCCCAATATCAAACTAAATGAAAACTCATTCAGTGGGTCTGGCAAAATACATGGTGTCTGATTGACCTTTATGGGCGGCTCAAAACTGTTGCAGTGGAAGTCTGTGCCATGCCTTGCCGAAAACGTTTATCTTCGGTTTCAGTTCTGGACAGAATTTCAAGCTGTACAGTGAAGTGCATAGTCAAATGTCTCCAATAGCTGAATCAATACAAATTTATGTTTTGCTAGCAAAGCAAGCACCTGACTTTGCCCATTAACTCCGACAGGCTAGCACGCAGTTGCAAGCGCTGGTTTCAGGCAGCTAAGGCTGGGGCCACACGACCGTACAAAGTACGTCCATTGTAACGCACATCGTGATGTCCGTCATAGAATTATGAAGGGGCATGTGGCTCCAGCCTAAAACACGGGATGTTCAGGGCATCCAGTCAAATCCCTGATGCTATGGATGGAAATGGTTCCCAAGCCGATGATTTCATTTTACCATTTCATGTGGCTGTGGATTATATTGGGTTTGGTCACAATGAAAGTTTCATATCACTTCAGAGTTAGCTAATTTATTCTAATTCTTATTTTCATTATTTGACATATTTTATGAATTAGATTTCATCCCAAAATATGACTGAAAAAGACTGTTCAACAACTATTGATCCTTAACAGACATGCAACTCACCCTGACTATTTGTGTTCCTCGTCTGTCTCAAAGACCCACTCAGTAAGTTACCACAAACACACCCCTGACTTTGGAATTATAAATTTATAATGAACAGAGCAGTGAAATTCAAGTTTGCTTGCCAAGTCATGGAGAAAAAATTCCAGCTGTACTTATTACAGAACAGCTTCAACCATACTAAACTTTGTAACACAATAACAAACTTCTGAATTAAAATGTACAATTCACAATGATTCTTACATATGATGTTACCCTGTCATTTAAATATAGCTTAAAAATATAGTAGATTAAAACAATTTAAATATATGTTTGTAAACACTCATTTATAAAATATGTTATTCTATTTATTTTTGTATTCCCACATTCTTTTTTAAAAAAATGTATCTCAAATTACATACCTTTAAGTATGTTTATGGTTAAATTTGAGCTTTGTGCAGACAGTGGCTTCCTGAGAATTTCCCTCAAGTTACAATATTCAAATTTGTTTATGCAGACTAGAAGAAATAATAACTAGGAATCCTACCATTAAACATCTTCAAACTAGTGCAATACACATATCAAACCATTAATTCACTACTCTACACATTTTGTATCTATCTAATCTGCTGGGTTTTTTTTCAATAACAAACTTGCAGTTTAAAATTTTCTTTGGACTGAAAGATCGTATCTTGCCACAGTGATATAAAAAGAAGTCAAAACAGTTACTGAGAGGAGATTCAACAAAACAGATGTAGTTTTGAGGTTTCTGAAGATAATCCTGAGCTAAATATTCAGTTTACATAAAGGCCATACTATTTGAAGTAATAATGTCTGCTCTGGTAACTACTTTCAAGCACTCAGTCTTCTGAAAACTACAGTTACAAATATTTTCTAGAGTTTTGAATAACATACTGGTTAAGAATTATGACAAATTACGAGGGGCGTATACAAATGATTTAGACTAACCTGAATTATGTGATCCATGATGGTGGTGGCGCCCAAGTTACCCTTCAGCCCGATCCACATATTCTCCCTGGAGGTCGATGCACCATTGCCATCTCTCTAGCAATTTCCATATTGCCTCACAAAACCATTGTTTGGGGGTGTCTCGTACCCACTCCCTGACAGCATGTAAGACGTCACTATCAGGGAAATGAACACAGTTGCACGTGCAGTCACTGGAGTTCACCATTCTCCCACACCTGCCCTATTCCCCCGACCTGGCACCAGGTGACTATGCCCTCTTCCGTGAGATGAAGAATCCCCTGTGTGGTCACCGATTCCCCGATAGTGAGGCCTTGCATGATGCTGTCGGGGAGTGGGTACAAGACATCCCCAAACAATGGTTACGTGAGGCAATACAGAAATTGCCAGAGAGATGGCAGCGGTGCATCAACCTCCAGGGAGAATATGTGGAACGGGCCAAAGTGTGACCTGGGAGCCACCACCATCAGAGGATCACATAATTCAGGTTAGTCTAAATCATTTGTATATGCCCCTTGTATTATATATGGCAAATCAGAAAAGGTGGCGATGTTGGTATACGGTTCATGGCACTACTATGGTATCTCCGAAGGAGTGAAAATAGAAACAAATCCCAATCAGTCGACAAACATCACAGAAAAGTTACCATTTAAAATATACGTCACTATAGTGAACATGAGAATTCAGCTCAAGACAGAGCGAACTTGCTTGATTATAGATGCATTGTGGAAAGTACACATTTACACAAGTTTTCCAAAATCATGTTCAACGGTAACTTTAAATATTCACTGACACGCACAAAGAGAAAGCAACAGCCTAACTTACACGCTGGCTGAAAGATTATTATAATATTCACAGTACTGATAATTTACAAACCCCTCACTAGAAGTCCCCATCATAGTTTACAGAATAAAATACAAGTTTTGTCCTGAGACCAATCAGCAACTCTGGTGACATCTTTTCCTGTCTATGTAACAAGGCATGTGACATGGAAGACCAAGTAAAAATGCCAACAGACTGATTTAAATATAAAATTAATATTTTATTCTGTTTATATCCCAGAGGGATTCACATGCCAAGAATAGTTCAATGACAGTCCTTAATTGAGTAAGCAGAAGCAAAGAAATCACAAAAAAGAACACAGCACCAGTTCATATTTCTAGAAACTAGGCTACCTACTTAACCTCAAAAAATTACTGCAAACATGGTCTCACTGAACATAAAATTGGACATTATTTATGTATTAAATATACAGTACCTTGACTAAATGTGCTGCAGCTTCTGACAATAGAATCTGTATGATGCAACTTTTATTATACAAAATTATATACTCCTAGTATGTATAACTAATATATGTATGCATCTGTATTAACAGATTAATAATGTTCCTGTCATGCTCAATCTCCATTACTAACGTGACGAAATGCCATTTTTTGGGTAATTTGAAAAAATTATGCAACTAAGTTTATAACGCAATTTCCATGCCTTAATTTTTTACTGCAGTAATCTAACAACTGTGAACCCCTCCGATTCATAAGGTCCACATACTATCGAATAGTAATGGCAGCCAACTGAGAAAATTCAATTCCAGTGATACTGAAAAAGGCGATGAGCAATTATATTTATAAGGCCCCCATCAAGGTCAGTAGTTGGGTGCCAGAAAGTCAAGGAACTTCATGCACAGCTCAAAACCTATAAAACAGGCTGCATTAGCAGGGAAGGCTCGCAACATCACAGGAACAACTCCTTTGTACAAAGCTACAGGCCCTTCTTCTTTCATTAAGACCTTGAAGACATCACGGATCCCATTAGGAAATGAGCCTTCTGGAGCTAAAACAAGTGTCATATTCAAATTCAAATAACTACCACAAAAAAATTCATTATCTGGGAACTTCAGATAATAGACTTGTACATACCTGTTTGTAGTCTGCTTTTGAGCACATCTGCAGGCATTGCAACTATCCAGTTAGCAATACCAGCACTTCCTCCTGCAAAGATGGTGCTCAATATTCCAATCTGACCACTTTCTGAATTCTGTGTAAGGAGCTTCTGAACTAATTCATATGTCATGAAATACATGCCACTGGCTGGAACATCTGAAAAACATAATTGAACATAACAATTACACACTCCATGGGTTACAAGGAGGTTCCTGTTTATTGGGATAGGTAACAAATTAATCTAGTTGAAGTAAATAGTCCACAATCTTTTGTTATAAACTCAAATACTGAATTTATCAACTGTTCTTCTATAACGTCATTATTTTTCACATCTGCTTCCATCTCAAAAAATACTGCAAAACACTACAAAGTTAGAAAATCATCTTAAATACTGCAAACATCAGTGAGGTTCTCAAGACAGTAAACACACTGATGTTGCCTTGGTAGGTATACAGAAATGCTTGGGAGGACCATAGTGCCTCCATCTTCAGCCCTGAAGATGGAGGCAGTATGCTCCTCTGAATGCTGGTGTCTACATACAATGCATCACCATCCAGAGGACAAACATCAACAGTCAATATTACTGTATGGGAACCCATGAAAAATCCTAGTAACAATATTAGGGATATGGTAAATTTGAGACAGTAACAATTAGAATGATAGCGTTATATCACAATATTTGATAACTGATGTAAAAAAAATTCTTAGAAGAGAGAACAGTGTATTTTCTTTAATTCATCTTCACCTATAGTCTGCGACTGAAATCTTGAGACTTGCAAGGAATGCAGGAAGTCCGAAGCGGTAAAGGCTGACGCTATCTTTCCTCCTTCACCCCACTTCCTCACCCCGCAAGTCTCAAGATTACAGTCTTACACTGTACAACCAAATTTTAATATGTACTATTTATGATGTGAACTCATAATAAGAGTAAAATTCTGATTGCTGTCAATTATACAGTATGCCGTACATTACACTTATATGCACGTATTTTTAAACCATCTTTCAATTGTGTATTTCTAATAAAAACACCGAAACTGTACAATTACAATAATCTTTTCATAATAGCCAGCAACC